CTTCTTTTAATGATAAATATATGTTATAGTCATTAAAAAGCCGAATATAAATCTAATCGAGATTAGATTTAGATTTTTGCTCTTATTTCTAATTTATAAGAAAAATGGGAGGTAGAGGAATGATATTCAAAGGATCTCGTGGACCAATCAGGTCAGTCTAGAATGTGCAACATTCAGTGTGCCAACTGACCTAGTTTCTTCAAGTCAACGATTTTTAAAGGTGGTAAGGGCAAGGGAAGAAGTGACTCTCTAAAAAAGAATAATTTTTTCATAAAACAGAAAAAAAGCTCAAAAAAAGAATCAAGTGATAATAGCAAAATACAATGTATGAAACTTATTTACATCTTCGTTTGTACAAACCAAATGTAAACAGGTTTTTAACAATCAGGAAAACTTTGAATATGCAGTAGGTATTAGATAACTTCAAATAATTATCAGTTTAATTATGTATGCCTATGACATGTTATTATGTAAGAAAATATCCTAATATTTCAGATATTTATACCAAAGAAGTTAAGGGAAAATTTTCATAATGTCTTTGATTTGCTTAAAAATAGCTCAGGAATTAACAAGAACAACAACAACAACAAAGAGTACATAAATCAAGTGGGACAAATACTGTATTAGATTTGTTGAATCAGTGTAATGGAAATATCCGGTTGATTTTGTAATTTCCCTCTTTTGATGAATTTTTTTTTCCCGGTACCAGGATTGAACTTAGGACCTTGCTCTTAACAGGCAGGCACGGTGCCACTGAGCTAAGTCCCCAGCCCATTGATGAAGTTTGAATATTTTTTCATACCCAAAGTGTCTTTCTAAATGATGGCCAACTAGTTTCTAAGTGTTCAGTAAGGGTAATTTGATCTATTTTTTTGCTCTTCATTGGTTTTTTTAAAAGTTCTGTAGGAAAGTATTAGTAGTTGCTCTCTAACTCGTTAAACAATGTTGACTCTGCCCCAAATTATGGCACAGTTCTTGTTTCCTTAAGCGCTAAAAATGAGTAAGATAATTCTTGATAACTTCATACTCTCCACAATTCAGATTCTTAGGCTAGAGACTTAAGCAAAGAGAGAAGGAGAGAGAAGACAGGGAGACGGAGGGAAAAAGAGGCAGCGGGAGAGCAAACAGAAAGGAGACAGAAAGACAGAGAGTTTTTTTCTCAGAGAATAGGACTACTAAGAGGAAGGAATCAGGAATCAGAATGGCTTTAATATTTCTTTCCCATCCTTTGTGCTTGGTATCATTAAACTCAAAAGCCTATGAAGCTGTTGCAAAGGGAAAAGTTTTAACAAAGAAATTAATTCCTGCATCTTGATTTTTCTGCACCCACTAAGTCTCATATGGGCTGATTCGTTATTCCATTGGATATGCATCTGATTTCTGGAGTGAGCAATGTTAGTTTAAGAGGTTACCAAATGGTTAGAAAGTTTATTTATTTTGAATTTAATAGTCGAATTCAGAGGTATTCCTGAATGCCTACCTACTAAGTTTACATTAGTATAGTAATGGTTATGTATTATTTACATTCTAAAGTTAGTAGTAATTGTATTTTAAACCTTAGGATACATAAAAATATAATTAGGCCCTCTGTACATTGTTTCAGCTGAGGCACATGGAAGAAGTAGAAAGAAATTAAACACTTGGAGATTCTGCTACAAGAAAAAATAACCTAAGACATTTAAAACTGAAAACTTTATGCATTAGTTTTTCTATAAGATTCATTATTAGTGCATGTTTGCAGTACATAATGTTCACATTCCTTGTGTGGAGTTGGTACAGGTCAGAACACATCCAATTCCTTTTTTCATACTCTGTCCTTTCCCTCCCTCACCCCTTCCTTCATCTCTTGATCTTCTTCTCCTTTGAGAAAGATCTATCTCCCTACTCCATATTATCTATCATTTATTAGCTTTTTATTTATAACTTGGGTTTCTCACATAAGAGAAACCATGTGATATTTAAGCTTAGGTGGCTGATTTATTTTACTTAACATTATGGTCTCAAGGTGGGTACATTTTCCTACGAATGACTTAAGTTTATCTTTCTTTATGGTAGAGTAGTACTCCATTATGTGTAAATATTATGCTTGAGATATTTTAAAATTAAGATAAAAATAGTGAATATTGTTCTGACTGTTTTGGTGGAATAGTGCTACCTGAATATAGTACACTTACTTATGATAAAACATACGAGCCATGCCCATTCTTTGCTTTTCGCCTCCTGACAGAACATCTTTCCAGTCCATAATAGCATCCCATCCTAAAAGAAAGGATACAGTTTGTTGAATTATTACTCTTTTTATCCTAGATAAATGATTTCTGGCAAGGTCTAATTGTTAACATGAAGAACCTAGTATTTTACAGAACATATCTTTGGACAAACTACAGGGCTTTATGTCCAAGTATTTTGTTTTAGATTTGATATTCTTTTAATTGTAACAATTCCTTATAATAACAAATCATTTTTTTGAGACAAGATCTCACTATGTAATTCAGGTTGGCCTTAAACTCAATATGGAGCCCAGGGTGGCCTTGAATGCAAAGCAATCCTTCTGTCTCAGCCTCCAGAGTGTTAGGATTACAGGCATGCACCACCACGCCCCGTAATAACAAATCATCTTGTAAGAAGCCTAAACACTGCACCTTAAAAACTGTGTTTCTAAGTATCCCAGAAAGGTTGGTGGACTTCTACTTATTTTCGAGGGGAGTGGCAGAAGTGACCAATATATCTGCATCACTAAATTGCAAGACCTATGAAGGGGAAGAGAGGAACTAATTTAAATGGTGCCCACATGCCTAGTCTTTCGTAAGGTTCCTCCATGTATCTTATATTCCTTAAAAGATAGATACTATTACTTGATACAAGTGATTATTACTCACACAAGTGAGTAACCGAAAATTCATTGAGTAACAGACATGCCTAAGAGTCAGTGCAAAGGTTCATGTCTTGGCCTCTAATGTTTTTATACTTCTACTGAGCAATCTATCTTAACTGAAAACAAAACCACAGTCCCACTTCTACAGTATGCATTTTCAAAGAAAATGATTGCCAAAGCTTGACAAACACTTAGGGCAATACTTCAAATCCTAAGTATTTGGGACTTCTCTCTGCCTTTGTATTTCTCTCTCTGCTGAACTTTCATCATTATTAAAATTTATAAATAGTTTAAAGAGAAAGAAAAGTCAGAAGCAAAGTCTTCGTTTTTTTATGCGTTGAGTATCTGAAAACCCAAATTATCAGAATGATTAATTTTATCATTTGCTGATCAGAAGAATATGGGATTCTTTTTTAATATCCAAAAGTTCAGAAACTTTGAGAGAAAAATGTTAATTGTTAAACATAGAGTGCACTTTTATGTTTAATGTATTTTTTCCTTTAAAAATTATTACAAAGTTCACTGCATTAAAAGTCTAAAATTATAAATAAGAACTAAAAACAGTGCTTATCTATTAACAAGTGGCCGACAACTAGATTGGAGCAATAGGAAAAAATTTTTAAATATTTTTAATTTTTGACTAATGTGAAAGGGTTACTTGTTCCAAAAATTAAATGAATAAATATAATAAAGTAATACATTAAGAATAATAACTACAAAAGTATTTGGAATGAAAAGACTTTCCCTTATTTCTTAATGACACTCAATTCCACCTTCCAAAGTAAATCAGTGTTCATTTTCTTGGATAAACTTCTAGAAATTATGTCTATTTAAAAATATAACCTTAAAACTTTATATTAGGAAAAATATCAAAATATTATCTGATTTAAAATTCTTGCTTCCAGGGAAATGTGCTGAAATAATACTTTCATTCTGACTGAATTTTATATCATTTATGAAATATATGATGATATGAAAAATAGACTCAGATTGCTACACAGTGGAGAAATATTCTAAGCTTAAAATAATTTTCCCCTGACCACTAAGAAGAAGGCCCAAAAGAAATGTATTTGGGTCAATGAAAAGTTTAACTTTTACTATTTTAATAAACTACCTTCTTTGTTCTACCACACCCAAAGGGTTTCGTGAACAATATTGCATGATCACATAACACATAAATCAGAACTCTTGAGTCCTAATGTCTCTGATGCTGAGACTAAGCCAGCTTAGAAGAAAATTATTTTCCTGCTTTCCACTGTTGCACAAACTTCTTTAGTTCATATCTTTCATATTTTGTGACCTTTTTGATGGGATGTAATGTAGTTCTTATTTCCATCATTTACTAAGCAAAGGATGAGCTAATCTAAACAGAACTTCAGAAAGCTTCTTCCAAAGTGATGTATTTACAAACTGAAGTGTTTTTTTGCTTTGCTTAAACATTTTCTGTTTAAGAGTAAAACTAGTTTCCTTGAAAATTTTTATATGTGAAGATATACTAGTTATTATTAATGTCTAAAAAGCTAGAAGATAGCACAGCATAATAGCATACCCTAGCAATAAACGTGACTTAAAAGTCAGATCTGTGTTTCATTTCCTGTATTGCCACTCACTACAGGACCCTATTAACCTGAATTCAATCTGTAAAATGGGGATAGTAAAACCTCCATTGTTAGACTAATAAGAATATTAATTGAAATGAGATATATATGAGTTGTTTAATATGCCGCATTGTGAACACTCAACAAACCATAACAATTATAGTTATTAAGGTTGAAACATTCTTCTTTTTTCTAAAATGGGGGGGAGGGCACATAAATTTTATCACCTGCCTGAGGCATGGGAATATGAAACTCTGGGTTTGCAGTATTCTTAAAACTAGTTCTACAGCTTCTTCATGATTTTTTAAAAGAATAGAATATTTCATGTTTATTTTAAATTTCTACTTGGATTATTGGATTTCAAATCTACTCAAAATAACTTGCCCAAGATTGAGATGTAACATTTACTTTGCCACAGTATTTTGTAATCAGGAAGAAACTGATCACATGAAACAATAAAATAATCTGCTTTTCTTATACAATAGAAATTGCAAACACCATAAAAATAAGTATAATAATATATCTCTTGCCTGCTTCACTTACTATAAGGACAAAGTGAAATAATATATATGAAATTACCATGTAAAATATTAAATATCATCATACAAAGACAAAATACCATTTGTATCAACATAACTCTAAAATAACTATTCATTATTAATTTTTGTGTACTCAAGTGCCAAATCCTTTAGATTTATTCATATTTAACCTCTTCAAAAACCTTACAAAATATATTTAACCCCATTTTTCAGTTAAGATACACAAAGTAGTGGTAACTAGGTTTGACCCTGGAACTCTGAGTTCAAAGCTCCATATTCTCAATCACTCTACTATACTGCTGCTTCTGATAGTGTGAGTGGGCTGTGAAATGGAACATAAAATCCATGCAAAATTAAACCTGGAATTCTGGCTTGCTATTTTAGTGATGTTTCTAGGCTATCAAATTATGAATTATCAAATTATTTCAAAATGTGATTGTTGGAAAATAATATTTTAAGCACACATGCATAAATGATATTTTTATTCTTTCAAAAATGTCATATTCTGATAAAAATACAATACGGAAGTTTCTATACATTATTTTTTTTCTGTGCTGGTTGGAGGAGGAAAAAAAGTGAACTGGTAAAATTATGGGATTGAAAACAAGAAGAAAGTTCTGTGACAACCACTTATGAAATTATTGCATTTAATATGAACTGAGACCTTGGCAGGTGAATATTTCTGTCATAGACTTTACACAGACCTATAATGGTTTTGATCTCAGGGATACTTGTATATTTAAATATAAAAGAAAAACACCTTTGTATATGCTAGCTGTAGTGATATGGAGACACGATAAACTTAGTATGCTATATTAGACATAACACAAGCCCAAAAGGGGTTGTCAGTAAGGGAAAAGAATCGCAACTCTATCTTAATGTGCTTATTATGTTCCAGTGATAGCATATATTCAAATTAAACCATAAATTAAATATAAATCCATTTTTTTAAAAAGGGAGTCATATGTATTAAAAAATGGTAGGCCTACCTCCTTCTCTTTGCACTATGTGATACAGGTGGACACTGTGTAGAATACATTCCAAATCCTGGTCTGAGTAACCTTTATCATGCATATCATCCACTGAGTCAGGATAAATGACCTGATCCCGAAGACTGCCAAGAGACATATATGGCCTGTAAAACAGCAAGCACATAAGAATCAAGTGCAAAGTCACTAGAGTGTCTTCAGAATGACATTCTGGTTGTCTGAAAACAACAGAGTAAACTTTAAACATTGCTTTCCTAGGAGTATGTTTGGAACCTGTTGAGTACTTCTCTCCCAGGCATTGCAAAATAATACTCTGTTATGTATAGAAAATTATTGGGCTGGGGATGTAGCTCAGCAGCGCTGTGTCTGACTGGTAAGTGCAAGGCCCTGAGTTCGATTCCTGATACCAAAAAAAACCTTATTGAGCCGGGCATGGTGGCACATGCCTGTAATTCCAGCACTTGAGAGACTGAGGCAGGAGGATCACCATAAGTTCAAGGCTAGTCTGGGCTACCTACTAAGTTAAAGAGCAGACTGAGCTATATAGTGAGCCTGTGTCCTAAAAAACAAACAAGCAAACAAACACCAAACCAAAGCAGAACATGCAAGAAAATCTTCCACAAGAAATCATTTGACATTTTCAGCAGAGAAATATATACTTTGTTTTTCTGTATTTGATAATAGTTGCTTCTGTACTTTAAATTTCTTTGGATTAAATGTGATAAAATTTGGGGTTTTGACTCAGCAGTGTAAAGAGACAAAAAGAAAAAAAGCCTTCCTTAGTAAGAAAAATGAAAATTAAAATGATATTGAGTCTCGGGTTTATCAGAGCGGCAAAAATTCAACAGCTCAATAATTCACTCCACTACAGGCCAAGAAAGAAATAGGAGCTTTCACAGTCTGGTGAAAATGTGAATGATGCAGCCCTCGGATGAGATCTGGAAAATAAGGGTTATTTGCTCTATAACCTACTTCTGGGCATTGGCTTGGAACATACACTTCTAAAAATACCAAAAAGAAATGCATACATCCATCTCTTAGAGAATTATTTGAAATAGAAGAATATTGAAAAACACTTAAATGCCCAAATGCAATTGTGTGAATAAATTATAGTATATTTACTATGTAGCTATAAAAAAGGACAAGGTATTATGAGTTGATATAGAGGGATTTCCATGATACATTACTAAGTTGAAAATAAAATGCAAAAGTAGATATATAGCAGGGTTTTTTAGGAACAGCACTGATATACTAAACTAGACAATTCTTTATTGCCAAGGACTGTTCTATGTACTGTAGGATATTTAGCAGTAGACTTGGTCTCTAAGTCTAGATGTCAGTATCACTCCCTCTAGTGGTGACTAAAAAATGACCTGTAGGTACTGTCCTAGTCCACTGGGGGACTAGATCATCCCTGGTTAAGAACCACTGATACATATTTATCACTCTTCTTGTGTTTCTTTGGAATATATAGCCATATATGTGTATATTTCATAGGTGATGTATATATATTTAATTTGAATTACAATATTGATATACATTTATGATTTCCATAACTTATTTTTTGTAGCTCTTCCCATGTCTAAAATGACCTTCCCATGTCTTGACAAGGACACAACATCATTTGAGTAATGTAGTGCACTGAGATTTTGGGATCCAAAAAATATGACCCAGTCTGAATACCCATAATTGTGGCTGTGACCTTATTTGGAAACAAGGTCTTTGGAGAAGTAATGAAGACAAGGATCTTGAGACAAGATTATCCTGGATTCATCAGATGGACCCCCAAATCCAATGAATGCTCTTACAAAAGGAGAAACATGGAGAGAAAAGTCCATGTGAAGAAAGAGGTGGAGATTGGAGTTCTGCTGCCACAAACCAAGGAAACTTGGTATGACCAAAGCCGGAAATGGCAAGAAATCATTCTCCCCTAGAACCTTCAGAGAGAGTGTGGACTGCCAACATTTTCACCTATGGCCTCCAAGGATGTGAGAAAATAAATTTTTGCTGTTTCAAACCACCACATTTTTTGTAATTTGTTATAGTAGCCCCTGGAGATTGTTACAGGTAGTATTCCTTCAAAAACTTGATAACCTGAATCATATCATGAGAAAACGATCAGACAAAACCCAAAGGAGAGAATGTTTAAAAAGTAACAACAGGCCCACCATCTCAAAAATGATCAGTGTCATAAAATAAACAAAACAACATGCTGAGGAACTCTCTCAGATCAAAAGAAACTAAGACTTGACAACTAAATGATACTGGATCCAGAAAAACTAGTTACTATGAAGAAATGTTAAGACAACTGGCAAACTTGATTATAGTTTAGATATTAATATATCAATGTTAAATTTCCTAAATTTTATAATTGTACTATGTTTTGTTAAAGAATATCCTTGATCTTTAAAAATATTCCCTAAAGTATTTAGGGATGATTTATGATTATTGAAACTTATTTTTTTAAAAAGGAATAAATGGTGTGTGTGTGCATGTGTATGTGTTGTATGCGTCTTCAGAGAAAGAGATTTTTAAATACAAAATGTGTTTTATAGATCAGCTGTCTACCTGTATTTCCATATTATGCAAATAATTTAGTTGAAGGACTGATAACACAAGCTTACTTTGTAATATATTTATGCCAAGTTTTTATATTTCAAATATACATAATACATAAAATTAGATTTTTAAAATAAATCTTTACAAACACAAAGACACCCTGGCCATATTTTGTTTACGTTGACATATAACACAAACATAAAATTCACCTTTTGTCCCCAGTACTGGGGATTGAACCCAAGGTTGCTCTACCACTGAGCTGTATTGCCAGACCCTTTTATTTTTTATTTTGAGACTAGGTCTCAGTGAGTTGCTTAGGTTGGCCTCAAATTTATGATCATCCTGCCTCAGCCTCTTCAGTAGCTGGCATTACAGATGTGTGTTACCATATCAGGTAATTAAGACTTTTAAAGTGTACAATTCAGTGTTTTAAATACATTCACAAGTTCATGTTACCATCACCACTGATTCCAGAACATTTTCTTCAACTTCCAAAAACATCCCATTATTAATTGCAGACACTTTACATTTCCCCCTCCTCAGATCCTGACAACACTAATCTGTTTTCTGTCTCCATGGATTTGCCTATTCTATTCCTTTCAGATCTATAGAATCATACAGTGTATGGTCTCTTGTGACTGATTCTGCCTACTAGCATATTTTCAGGTCTATCTGTGTTGCAGCAGGTAACCGTGACTCATTCCTTTCTATTGCCAAATAATATTCTACTGTAATGGCTATGCTGCATTTGATTAGTCCATTCATCTGTTACTGGATATTTAAATTGTTTTCACTTTTTGATGCTATGAATGAATGAATTGCTGGGGAAATGTTTTAAGGATTGTTTTTCAAAAGTGGCTAAACCATTTCTGGTTACATTTCTTCAGCTCTCTCTCTCTCTCTCTCTCTCTATACTTAAAAAATAGAATCCATATTTCATTGCTTGTGTACGTCACCTTAAGTACTCATATAACGCTACATTATCTCTAAATTTTTATTTTAGTCTATATTAATTGAACAAAATAATAGGTTTCTTTGTGACATTTTTATATATGCATATGATATGCTTTCTTTATTATCTTCTTTCCTGTTCCCCCATCACTTTCTCCTTGATGAAGAATTTCCCTCTATTTTGTTACTTTGTCCCTGCTAGCTCCCCTATATGAGAGAAAATGCTCACTATTTGTATTTCTGAGTCAGACTTATTTTACTTAATATGATGATCTTCAGTTCCATCCATTTTCCTGCAATTGACACAATTTTCTTCTTTTTCATGGCTTTATAATATTATCTTAAACTAATGCCTAAGAAAATATTAGCATAAAATAGAAATTCATCACTAGACCCAATAAATTTTAATTAGGGATTCTGAGGCTACTTGGAAGAAGAAATACATAGAAAGCTTGGGAAAGAATACTTTTACTGCTTTCCAAAGTGATGCCAGCTTAAACTTAACATAAATCAGAACCACAGCTAGCTTTTCTCCTCAGATACTAAAGCCAGATGCTAGTCCAAAGAATAGTCACAACACAGTATACAATCAAGACTGCAATGATAAACATGCCTCTGAGCATTCACACGTGGTTTTACATGATTCTACCATCTCACTCCATTAACTGCCAATATTTGATGCAATCATATTTTATATTGACATTTCAGGGAAGACAATGTGGAATATGGTTGCAATAATGGGATTTAAAGAGATGGTTCTGGAATTGAATCCAAATCTCACCATTTATTAGTACAGTGACCATAATTATGTCCTAGAGTTACCTTATTTGTAAAGTAACTTTTTGTATTCCATTTGATATAAGAGCAGAATGAAGCAATAGGTTTTTAATGAAGCTACAGGAAGGAATGTGTTAAAATCACTTAATTCAGGGCCGGTGATTTAGCTCAGTGGTTCCACCACCTGCCTCGCAAGCTCAAGGTCCCAATTCGATCCCCAGTATCCCCTCAAAAAAATCACTTAGTACAGTCCAGGCATAAGGAAGGCATTCAGTAATAATCATTATGAAACAAAGAGTTCATTTCTACTTAGGCTTAAGTTCTCTACTTAAATGATGACACAACATCTTAAAAAGGAGCAGGTTAGTGATGTAGCCCAATTGATGAACATTTGCCTTGTATGCACAAGACCCTGGGTTTATTCCCCAATACAACAAACAAACAGATAAACTTGTAAAAAAAGAGCAGATAAAAACATAATTTCTACTTAGGTAAGAGATTGCTGATTTATGTCCCAGCGTAAAGTTTCATTATACTGAATATAATTAACTATTACTAAACCCTTATATAGATTTTAAAGATCATATTTTGTTGAGAACTCAGTGGAATACCTCAAGTTTACCCAGAAGCATTTCTTTTAGAAACTGGGGCAACATCTAGTTCACTGATGCACTCTATGGAGCACTCTATGGAGTTCACTGGAGCACTCTATGGAGTCTCAAAGGTATCAAAATGCACTAGGCTGACAAGTACTTTCTTTGGTACAGGAATGCGGAGGAGCAAAACATTGTACCTTCTTTAGAAGAGTAATATTTATTTATAATTTCTTTAGGTATTTTGTAATTAGCCAGTTTTCTTT